GGCAGATTCCCCTGGGGGAAGGCCCTGCACACAGCTGGCAAGTCGATTATATAGGACCAATGACACCAGTGGCTCCAGGTGGCTGTAAATGGGTCCTCACAGGAATAGATACTTACTCTGGACTGGGCTTTGCTTATCCTGTGACAGATGGAAATGCCAAAACACTAATAAAGGATTGGAACAAAAGATACTGTACCAATTTGGGCCACCAAGTTCTATTTCCTCAGACCAAGGAACACACTTCACATCCCGTAGGGTGCAGCAATGGGCCAAAAAACATCATATTAAGTGGACACACCATGTTGCATACCATCCTCAAAGTAATGGTTTGATAGAAAACTGGAATGGGCAATTGAAACATTTGTTATCTAAAACTGAGGGAGGTAAAGGTCTAAAGGGCTGGCTCACATGCCTTCATGAATGTGTGCTCACACTCAACATGAGGGGGGTGAAGGGAGGATCACCACTCAACAGATTCCTGTGCTTTTCTGGGGGATCTAGTGAAGAAGGGGTGGGGGAGAATGCTGGTGCCACTGTACAGTTTTTCCCCACCTCACCTAACGTTGCTTTCTTCCTGCCAGAAGCTGTGGTCCCTGGACCTGGGATACAGGCTGTGAGTGCCAGAGGCTGGGGTGATCCCTAAGCAAGAAACTGTGTCTATATCTCTGAATCTGTATGCCAGAATTCCCAAGGGCCTTATGGGATAGATTGTACCTTCTTCCCATCTGGCCAAACTAGGGCTGACAGTGAATACTACCATCCTGCCCAGTGGTCGAGATGTTGTTGTTGTTGTTGTTACGTGCCATCGAGTCAGCCCGACTCATAGTGACCCCTACTTGGGTTTCCGAGGCAGTGTCACTACAGAAGTAGGATTGCCCAATCTTCCTTCCGAGGAGTGGCTGGTGGGTTTGAACCACCAGCCTTCTGGTTAGCAGTCAAGTGCTTTAGCCACTACGCTACCAGAGTCCACTGGTTTTGTATCTGTGTAACCATATCCAGCATGAATGGGAATGGACTGAGGGGGAAGCACTTGCTAGACTGATCTTGCTACCAGCAATATGGACAGGCACAACAGCTGAATTTGATGTCCCCTCCCAAGGTGGGAAAGTTTGGGTAAAAATAAATGATGAATGGAAGGAAGGAGAAATAATAGCTGAAGGTAAAGGAATGAATAAATGGGTTATGCAGCAGGGGAAATCCAACATTGTACTGATACCTAAAGACACTCAGAACAAGGGAATAATACCAT